GGAAGCACTTCGTTACGCGATAATGAAGCAGGTTGTGTAAGGCGTGGTAGTCATCCGCGTTCAGCCTTCGACAGGCAGTAACTAATGAGTTCAGGTTGACACTCACCAGTGCAATCTGGAGCTGCACCTGATGCGAAGTTGACGTAGCATTGTGTAGCACATAGCGTGCGTTGCCGCCCCACCGACGATAGCAGTCTTCCTCCTTCTCGGCCGACACTTTGCCAGAATACATTAATGCATGGCACTTCATGGTCTCATCTTTCGACCACATTGGCATCTACAGAAACTCACAGCCAAACTTTGTGAAATCGTACCAAAGTGAGCGCCTTGGCGGAGACAATAAAACCATCTTGCATGGGTAGCAATTTGGAGCTGCACCATCCACAATATAGTACGTTGTAGACTCATCCAAAACGCCAAGAAAGTCTTGATCTGACCCCTGAACAACCAGGCCAGGAGAGAACAGAAACCGCTGCCCAGATTCTCCACAACCGTAAACAACAGTCGCGTGAGCTCGGGTCAGATGAAGGAGCAACACCAAGCCAAAAAAGGTTTTGCCAATCCCTGAGTTACCGAAGATCACGAGGCGTGGACACTCGGCCTCATCGCGAGTTAGCTTCATGCAAGCGTCCAATAGTTCTGGGTAGCAGTCACGAATGAATACCTGGGAGCCTAGAGTCGGATCCCCAAGGAGGTAAGCTCCATCTGATAGCGCAACCACGTTGCCATAGCCGATCGCAGTGGAGTTTCTCGCCATTGCCTGCCAAAACGAGACCATATCCGGAGGATTCACCTGCATTGATCTAGTAACAAAAATCATTATATCACCGACACGAAGTTGCGTATACGGGTCGGGCTGCATTGGCGGCGGTACCACAACACACAGCGGGTTACTGGGGTCCTTACCACGATTATCCAATGTAGCGAACACCTCCAGAGGCTGCTTCGCTTCGTACGCGCTGAAATCCTCGAAGACGCGAAGTTTGGCGGCGATCATCTCTTTTGGGAGAGCGATGGAGAATTTGATGGAAACGGTGTCTCGTAGACTTTCTACGATGTTTTCTTCGGTGAGAGGGGCCGACTGCGCAGTGGTGCCCATGAATGCAGCGTGCGTGACAGCATCCACCAACTGGAACAGACCTTGCCCACGCTCTCTCCATAGCGCCCCAGTGGTGCCCCCAACTGTAGACGTTCGCTTATCTTACTCGGAGATACTTTCCGGTCGTCGGCAACAAGGCCAGGCAGAACAGGTTCGTTGCGTACATGCCGTAATTTGTTGCAGAAATCTTCAGTATCCGAAGTACCATTAGGCGACCCAAGGTAACCCACCGGCATCGAGACTTGTCGCCTTCTGCGCGAATTCTCAAATGATGAAATGAAAATTCTCGCCAGTCGCTACGATTGAAAGATTCAAACTCATAGGCGGTGAACCCACAGCATTACCGATCTACGCTCTATCAATCGCTGTTGGACTTGATGGTAAAGCAATGTATCATTTCTGTGAACGCTAGGATAACATTCGTAACATTTACTTTTTAATTACGCGACGAAGCTGGCTTACAACTGCCGTTGCTTCTTCAAACTTACAGATACTTAGACATGGCCAACGCAGAGCCCACCCAATCACACCATGGACACCCCATCGACGCCGCACTTAGAAGTCTGCGTCGAGCGTGAAGACCTGCTCCTCGGCCGCGACGCCGACGCCGGCCTTCGAGTACTCGCCCACACGCTTCTCGAAGAAGTTGGTCTTGCCCTGCAGCGAGATCATGTCCATCCAGTCGAAGGGGTTCTTGACGTTGTAGAGCTTGGGCACGCCCAGCGAGTACAGCAGGCGGTCGGCCACGAACTCGATGTACTGGCACATGAGCGTCGAGTTCATGCCGATGAGCTCCACGGGCAGCGAGTCGCACACGAACTCGTGCTCGATGGTGACGGCCTCACGAACGATTTCGTGCACGCGGCTCTCGGGCAGTTTGTTGACCAGCTTGGAGTACATGAGGCACGCGAAGTCCGTGTGCATGCCCTCGTTGCGGCTGATGAGCTCGTTGGAGAAGCTCAGGCCGGGCATGAGGCCGCGCTTCTTGAGCCAGAAGATGGAGCAGAAGGAGCCCGAGAAGAAGATGCCTTCAACCGCAGCGAACGCCAGCAGACGCTCCGGGTACGACGACACCCGCGGGTCGCACCACTTGAGCGCCCAGTGCGCCTTCTTCTTGACGCACGGGATCGTCTCAATAGCGCGCAACAGGTGGTTCTTCTCCATCGTATCCTTGATGTACGTGTCGATGAGCAGCGAGTAGACCTCGGCGTGGATGTTCTCGATGGCGATCTGGAAGCCGTAGAAGCAGCGCGCCTTGGGCACCTGCACTTCGTTGCTGAAGTTCATGGCCAGGTTCTCGTTCACGATGCCGTCGCTCGCCGCGAAGAAGGCCAGCACGTGCTTGATGAAGAACCGCTCGTTGTCCGTCAGCTTCTGCCAGTCGTTCAGGTCGTGCACCAGGTCCAACTCCTCGGCCGTCCAGAACGAGGCCTCGGCCTTCTTGTACATCTGCCACACGTCGTGCTCCTGGATCGGGAACAGCACGAACCGGTTCGGGTTCGACACCAAGTACGGCTCCGGCTGCAGCTCGCCGTTAACCTCCTTGCGTTTGTACTCAGACATCTCGAGCTTCGGCTGCTCTTCCTCCTCCTGGGACTTGTTGTCGTGAATGACAATTCCTTTGGCGAAGTTGTCCACGAACTGCGGGCTCAGCTCCTGCTCCGGCTGTTCCGGCGACGCGACCACCGCGGCGCGCACAGTCGAGGCTGCGACCATTGTAGCGCTGCCTGCAAACTCGAGCTCATTCGCCAACTTGCTCCCTTCGTCTCATTCCCCGTACAGAAGCTCGCAATGGTTTACGTCTCCGCGACGTCCTCACTCCTCACCATCGCTGCGCTAGTCGCCGTCGCCACCAGCCCCGTGGAAGGCGTGGCCTTCAACTGCCCCGGCATCAACTACAACATCCGCGCCGGCGCGGACTGCGGCCCCCGAGGTCAAGTGCAAGTCGGCCTCGCAGATTGCCAGCGAGCTTGAGATCCTCAAGAGCCACACGAACGTGCTGCGGCTGTACTCGCTGACCGACTGCGACCAGGCCACTGCGCTCGTGCCAGCCGCGATTGCAGCGGGCTTTCAGCTTGAGCTGGGTCTGTGGGTGGACTCGTACGCCTCGAGCTACTCGGCCGAAAAGGAGGCCTTTGCCACGCTGCTGGACACTGGAGTCGTCACGCCGGGCAACATCGTGGGGATCCACGTCGGCAGCGAGGCGCTCTATCGTGGGGATGTGGACTATCGCACCGCCGTGGGCCACCTCAGCGAGATCCGCCAGATGTGCATCGACAATGGGGGTGCAGCCGAGGTCCCTCTCACGATCACCGACGTCGGCAACACGTACTTGGCGTACCCGAGCCTCATCGACAAGGTCGACGCGCCAGCAAGAAGCGCGTGGTGATCGGAGACCGGGTGGGCCACCAACGGCATGGACGCTAGGGCCAGCGTGGCCACCGCGGAGAACGCGGCCAGGTACTTCCACGACTTCTATCTGCAGGCCCAGGAGAAGGGCATCCCGTACTACTACTTCTCGGCCTTCGACGAGCCCTGGAAGGGGACCGACACCGTGGAGGCCTACTTCGGCTTGTTCCACGAGGATGGCAAACTGAAGTCGTCCATCGAGGGGCTGGAGCTGGACAACGAGACCGCCGAGACGTCTGAAGCAGGCTCGACCGAAGCGGAGCCGTCGCTAGCAGCAGTAGCAGCACTGCCAGCAGCAACGCGACGGGCGCGTCCGGATCGGCAGCCGAGGAGGTACCGTTTGCGAGAGCAAGACTGACGAACCCGAGTCCACCGTGGCGCCCGAGTCCACCGTAGCTCCCGTGTCTACCGTGGCGCCCGTGACGTTCGATTCCGCAAGTGGCGTCGCGGAGACTTCGTCCAGCGATGCGGGGACTTCATCCGAGGGAGCTGACACGACGACGGTCGCAGTTGGAGCGAGCCAGGTCGCGTCTAACGACGGCAGCAGCAGCAGCAGCTTGATCCCCACCACCACCACCACAGCGCCAGCCACCGACTGCGCTATGATCTAGGTTAAGTTAGTGTAAGCCGCCGCCAGTTGCTTCATCGCCGAGCCCGCGTGTTGCACTGTCTTTATGTTTGCCGGCGTCCCTGACAATCCATGTGCGTTGCAAATGAACGATGACTTCCACAGCTATCTTCCCTCTGCAGCGCAAGGGGGCAACCCTCTCATAACAGAGCTTGCCTCATACTTAAGTAGCGTAATGCCGTGCCCACTTTGAAGTCGACGGCATGTGGCCATTTCCAGCACGCGCTGATCGTCGGCTCGAACAGTGACACTCGGTGCCTGTTGAGCGTGCCGGCGCCACGACAGCGGCACCGAAAGCTCTATAGTGTCCTCGACCGAGCGATCGATCGGGAAAATCAAGCTCGTGCAAGCATATAACCCCGGGGCGACGACGAAAGACAGCTCGCCACCAATGGCTGCATCGGTCGAGGTCGATCACGCACCGAATCTGCCCGTATCGTCGATACTATCGATGAGAGCGAACACTGACGCATGGTTCCAGCGCTTTCCGCCGCGTGAAGGCATACATGTACTTAGTACGCCGTCGGCACCCATTCCACTCACCGAATATGCGCGCGCAAATCCTGCTCGCGCGGGCTCTGACGTCGCTCGCCAGCTGACACAGGTTTCGCTACTCGTTCGGTGCTTCAGCTGCCGAAATATCCAAGCGGAGCGTCAGGTTGCAACTTTGACACGCGATCCAGATGGCACTTGCGTTGCCTAGCAGAGATGCTGGCCCTGCCAACAGGCACCCCTGCCTCGCTTGAGGCCGCTAATGCGGCCCGAGCTCCCGGTCATTTCCAAAACTCCTATCCCCTCGATACGAGTATTCCCCCCTCCGCTCCGAAGCTCCACACAGCGACGACCAAGACCCCACTCTCCACCATGGTGAACGTGCTCCGTATGACCTCCGCTCTGTCCATGGCCGCCGCCACCTTCGGCCTGGCCAACGCCGGCAGCTTGCTTCAAGTGCACGGGCATCAACTACAACATCCGCGCCGGCCCGGACTGGGCCACCGCCGACGTCAAGTGCAAGCCCGCCTCGCAGATCGCCACCGAGCTGGCCACGCTCAAGGGCGTGACCGACACCATCCGCCTGTACTCGCTGACGGACTGCGACCAGGCCACCGCCGTGGTGCCCGCCGCCATCGAGGCCGGGCTCAAGATCGAGCTGGGCATGTGGGTGGACTCGGCCGCGTCCAGCTTCGAGGCGGAGAAGGCGGCGTTCCAGACGCTGCTGGAGACCGGCGTCGTGACGGCCGACAACACCGTGGGCATCCACGTCGGCAGCGAGGCCGTGTACCGCGGGGACGTGACGGCTGCCGAGGCCATCTCGAACCTGAACGAGATCCGCACGCTGTGCCAGGCGAACTCCGGAGCCGCCGCCATCCCCCTGACCATCGCCGACATCGGAGACACGTACTCTGCGCACCCGGAGATGATCGAGGCCGTCGACTACGTCTCCGCGAATTACTTTTCCTTTTGGGAGAAGGTGGCCATCGACGGCGCCGCCGAGCACTTCTACGAGCGCTTCTCGGCGCTCGTGGAGATCGCCAGCGGCAAGCAGGTGATCGTGGGCGAGACGGGCTGGGCCTCGGACGGTGTCGACGCCGACGCCAGCCCCGCCACGGCCGAGAACGCCGCCAAGTACTTTCACGACTTCTACACGCTGGCCGCGGAGAAGGACCTCATGTACTTCTACTTCTCGGCCTTCGACGAGCCCTGCAAGCTGGCCACGCTCGAGGCCAACGAGACCGTGGAGGCGTACTTCGGCCTGTTCACGCAGGAGGGCGCCCTCAAGGACCTCATCTCGGCTGAGTTCGCCAACGCCACCGCCTCCTTCGACGGCAGCGACTCGGCCACCATCACTGCGGTCGGCGCTGACAGCTCTGCCTCTGCTTCTGCTGCTGCTGGCGCGGTGACCACGGTCAACGCTGCGTCTCCCACGTCGGCCGACGTTGCCGCTTCCTCGGAGGATGACTCGACCACGCAGGGCGACGCGACCCAGGACGGCGAGACCACCTCGGCCGTGGACGCTTCCTCGGACGAGGAGACCGCCTCCGGCAACGGCGAGGACGACTCGACCACGCAGACCTCGACTGCCACCACGCCGTCGTCGCGCAAGGACTGCGCCATGTAAAAGCTGACTGATTCTGTAGCAACTGAGAGCGCGTGGGTCGTCGATCGACCATCGAGTCTGCATGTAGACAAACGAAAAGTGAGTCAGCCCATCAATACAACACACAAATGAGCCATGAGCTTCATACCAGTCTACGGGTCGAGTTCTCGGACGACAGCGGCGAAGTCCCGGAGGGGTGGAACGCTGGTGTGACCTCGAGCCGCGCAAGTGATCGGGTTTGCTTGGCTTAGCGTGGTGAGCCCCGCAACTTCAACGAAGTTTTGGCCAATGAAAGTGAATCATTTAAAAAAAAGCAATGGAAGCGAAAAATATTTTTTTCTCCAAAAGAGGGTGGGCGTAGCTCCAAAACCAGGTAGCCTTAACAAGGTCGCTGCGGGCTGGACGGAGACGCTTCTGGCAGTGTACGACTTGACTTATCCATGCTCCACAGGAAACTCCAAAAGGTATAATACATGTACTGACAAATCACAGCATTACGATACGACCCCAAACGCAGCACAGAATCTTCCTCAACACCTTGTCCAATGGACACTGTAATTACCGAGGCGCAGATGTCGGGATCAGGAGCCGACACCGGTTACATGTAAACTCACAAGACCATGATCAACCCGAGTTTTATTCCGCTGTCACCGACGATTGCGATCGAGCTGGCCGTTGTCGGTCTGCCTGTCAGCGTTCCCTGCACTCACCCAGCTCTCAGCTTGTCATTTCGGATCTAACTCTCGACCCAGCAAGCGACTCGACTCCTCTCTACCAGCCCTCTCCCCAAGCCGAGCATTTCAACTTCTCGCCGCATCGCTCGTCTCCACCGAGCAGCCAACCCTCTAGTCCAACCCTTCTGTCACGGTCCATCCATTAGTCACGGTGATTGAGGACACTTTTTTGCTGTTCGGTGGATGACAAGGTGGTCAAGTTTCACGTGTGGAGCTTACATGTATTGGATGTGCAAGGATGCAGTGAAGACTAGTATTCGGACGACAAGGTGGTGAGCCTGCTTAGACGCGCCTCACGCGGCAGCCTCCAGGCCTGATGGTCGCCGGAGTACCCTCTTCCGAACCCTTGGTGCTGCCGTAGGTCTGGCTTCCGCTCTTGCTGGAGCCCGTGGTGCTGGCGCTGGCACCTTCGGTGCTGCCGTAGGTTTGGCTTCCGCTCTTGCTGGTGCTGGCGCTGCCCCCTTCGGTGCTGCCGTAAGTTTGGCTTCCGCTCATGCTGGAGCCCGTGGTGCTGGCGCTGGCCCCTTCGGTGCTGCCGTAAGTTTGGCTTCCACTCTTGCTGGAGCCCGTGGAGCTGGCGCTGCCCCCTTCGGTGCTGCCGTATGTTTGGCTTCCGTTCGTGTTGGAGCCCGTGGTGCTGGCGCTGGCCCCTTCGGTGCTGCCGTAGGTCTGGCTTCCGCTCTTGCTGGAGCCCGTGGTGCTGGCGCTGGCCCCTTCGGTGCTGCCGTATGTTTGGCCTCCGTTCGTGTTGGAGCCCGTGGAGCTGGCGCTGCCCCCTTCGGTGCTGCCGTATGTTTGGCCTCCGTTCGTGTTGGAGCCCGTGGAGCTGGCGCTGGCCTCCTCGTTTCTGATGACGGGGCAGTTGGGGCCCAGGGCGAGGTTGGCGATCTCCGCCTTGAGCGTCCGGTCCTCGTGGAAGAGTCCGAAGTACCCCTCGACGGTGGCGTTGCTGGCGGTGATCTTCCACTCCTCGTCAAAGCCCTCGAAATAGTAGAACGGGAGGTTGCGCGCCTGGGCCATCTGGAAGAAGTTGTAGAAGTAGCGAGCCGCATTCACCGGAGACGCCTCGGACGCCTTGGGGCTCGAGCCACCCGACGCCCAGCCAGTCTCGCCAATCTCCACCCTCTTGCCGAGCGCCGCAGCCTGTTGGTACAGGGGCTGCATCCTCGTGTCGAAGTACTGGACAGCGTTTTCAACTGCGATCTTCTCCCACATCGGAAACCCATTTGCTTGAACGACGTCGACAGCGTCGATGAGATTCGGGTGCGCCAAGTAGACGTCCCCGATCTCGGCGATTGTCACGGGCACAGACGCCAAGCTGTACGCGGCGAGCAGAGCCTTCACTCGTTGGAGATACGCAATGTTCTCCTCGGCCGTGATCTCCTTCCGATACACGGCTTCGCTCCCCACGTGGATGTCGACGATGCTGCCGCCCGAGAAGAGACTCGAGTGCTGCTGGATCAAGGTTTGGAGCCTAGAGAACTCCGCATCGAACACAGCTTCATCCCCACTCACCCAGAGGCCCAGCGACACACTCAGGCCGGTGTTGATGGCGGCAGGCAAAACTCTGGAGACTTGGTCGCAGTCCCCGAGCCCATAGAGGCGGACGGATCCCGTTACTTGATACAGCGTCTCCATGTCCGCCTGGATGTCCGCGGCGCTCTTGCATTGCTGACCTTGAGCAGCCCAGTCTGGCCCGATGCGGGGGTTGTAGTTGATGCCGTGGATACAGAAGCTCTGCGCCGCTTGCTTGGTCAACAAAGCGGAGGTGAAGGCTGCGATGGCACCGAGCAGCTTGAAAGATAGCATCGCTGGTGCTTGGTGGGGAGTCATGTTTTCGAGGTCGCTGAATTGTAAATGAGCAGTCTGGGAGGACTGGAGGAGCCCCAGAAGCGGCAGTATCGCACTGATCCTTCGACACTGACACTCGGTGGGTTCTCCACACAAGCATGAGCTTGTGTTCATGCATGAGCCCAGTTGCAAGTGTAACGGAAACACGGTGTGTGCGTTGAACGCCTCGTGAGATGCAGTCAACTGCATCTCATGACAGCGCTTTTCGATGATGCACGCAGCTCATCTGTGATCGCGGTGAGATGGTAGCTCGCGAGTGCTCTTGAACACGTGAATATGTTGCTTGTGTCTATGGGCCTCACATATGGGGACGGGCGTGGAGGTGTATTCAAGAGCTTAGATTGACAACGGATTCATCCCTAGGCTTCTGCGCGACAGCGGTGGCCTCAATCGAAGTCGAAGTCGCAAGTTGAAGTCGTCCGTTTCCGTTCAGGAGAAGTTGAAACGACCATGGTACGTTGCACCGTAATCCCAAGTGCAGAGCTTCGTCGTGACTCAAGGAGGCTGGCACAGGCTGCAGTGGTAAGCTGCAGCCACATCGTTGAGCGCAACCACACCATCGTAGTCGCAACATCCCCCTGCGAGTTCTTGGAATGCGAAGTCGCCACAAATTTGCACTCGGCGGAGCTTAGTACTTCTTGCTCCATGGCATCGCTACACACCCGCATTCCAGGGTGTGGTGCAACGGCGGGTTCAGGCAGGCGTACGCCACAGATTTACCAGCAGCAACAACCTTGTTGCGTGAAGTCGCGCGGTCTTAGCGCTTGAGGCTGTGGTCTTTTCGATTTGGTCCAGAACAACGGTACGTATTATAAACATTGTTTGTAACGTCGGTAGTGAAACACTTTAGCTACTGTACTAAGTAGAATTTACGAAAGTGATATGTAAGTAGTTGTGTAGCTCTACTACCGAGCTTCGCTGCAAAAAAGCTTGTTCACAGGTCGAAGACCTGTGCTTGGCCCCGGCAATAAACTTGTAACTTTCCAAAACCGGGTACCAAACCGGGTCTCTCTTTCTTAAGCAACTTTGTGATCATCACTCTAGTTGAAGTGACACGTACAGTGTGGTTCTTCTGCCCTGCTATTAATAATGAGAGCGCAGCTAGCCCCCACGACCAGCACACAGCAGATTTGAACCCCAATGGG